AGACAGGATAGGAGGTGCTGTTTATTATATTTTTGAAGTCGAGCAATTTCTTCCTTTCCTCTTCTCCGTTTCTGTCAACTCGACTTAATTTAAACTGTGTATGTGCTTCAGGAATACCAATCGAGTTAGCGATGGTACGAAACCACATTCCCAAGACGAGGAAACATATCATCTTTCAATAGTTGAAGAAGTCAATAGTCAAATTGGTATAACTTGGAAGGTAGTGCTTATTATAATTTATTATTAGCTTTGATTTAGTAAGATATAAAGTTTATTTGAAACTCCAATCCTATCTGCTAGTCAAAAATTTGGATCGCCACAAATTGTAACTACTGTCTAACATTTGTCTTTCCAGGCGAGGTACAACAAGTTTGCTTCACGCGCTGAAGCGACAACGGGTACAGGTACTTCTGACACGGATACGGCTAGACTGATTTTAAAAAAATTTTTCAATCTTGATGATAGTCAGCTTCTCCAAGACACTGTTACACATATTGAGGATTTATGGAAGTGAATAGTAGATATCTTCATCTCTCGAAGATGTATTAGAGATCGAGTATTTTTTTAGAGTCAAGAAACCTATTCCCAAGTCGTTCGATGTTAGGACAGCATGGCCAAAATGCTGGGCTGTACATCAAATATTTAACCAAGCCGGTTGCGGATCATGTTGGGTGAGATATTAAACAACTTTGGAAAAGAATTCTTTAAAAATACGTTGTTTCTTTCTAGTCAGTTGCCGCCACTTCAGTAATGTCAGATCGTGTCTGCATCAAATCGAACGGCACTTTGCAAACGCAGATTAGCGCTTTAGATCTCACTTCATGCTGTTTGTCCTGTGGAGGGTTAGAAGCGTTTGCTCATGAGCTTCTGAGAATTCCAATTCCATATGTATTTCTAGGTGTCAAGGGACACATTGGGCTTTATCAGCTTTCACATATTGGAAGGAACACGGGATTGTTTCAGGTAAGCGTAATATTAACAATTTTCTAGCACTCGAACTCGCACAAAGCACCTAAATAAAGCTTACGTAGGTGGTGCCTTCGGCACGCATGAAGGTTGCCGACCTTACACATTTGAACCAAGTTGTGGGACCCCGTGTGGTCCATCGTTGTATCGAAAGGAACGCACGCCTCGATGTGAACGACATTGTCAAAGCCTCTACCATAAAACTTATGAGCAGGACTTAGTGCAAGGTAAATCCGAAGGATTTAGAATAATTCAGAAAAAAACAATACCTTTCTATGCGTTTTACAAAAAACGAGTTCAAGGTATTATGGCGAAGTACATGAAAGTTTCTTGCATAGAAGTAATAGACATTACCGTTTTATT